ACCAGCAGGACTCTACCCTTGCAGCCTCAAAATTGCAAAAGGGAAAGAGTTTGCTTTGAGAAGAAAACCCTAGAGCACTCTGTTCCAGGATGAAAGAGACCTAGACTTTAAAGTTTATATGGAGAGGCAAAAGACCCACACCCAGAATAGGCAATGCACTGTTGAAGGAGAAGAGCAAAGTTAAAGACTGTCACTACTCAACTTCAAGGTTTCCTACAGGGGCTGGGGACATAGCTCAGCAGAATAAGCACTTGCCTGGCAAGCGCAAGGATCTGAGTTCAATCCCCAGTTCTGAAAAAAATATTGCTATAAAGTTACAATGATCAAGACACTGATATCAGCAAAAGAATAGACAGATAAATCCATAGAACAGACTGGAAAGTCCAGAAATAGAAGAATATAAATACAGTCAACTGATATTTGACAAAGGAACAACAACAAAAAGTCTTTTCAATAATGCTAAACAATGCACACCCGTCACCCTAGCACTCAGAAGGCTGAGGCAGGAGGGTCATTGCAACTTTGAGACCAACCTGGGCTGCAAAGTGAGCTCAAGGCCAGCCAGAACTGCATAGAGAGACTGTCTTGAAAAAAAAAAAAGAAAGAAAAGAGGAAGAAGGAGGAGGAGGAGGAAGAAGGAGAAGGAGGAGGAGAAAGGAGGAGGAGGAGGATGGAGGAGGAGGAGGAGGAGAAGGAGAAGAAAAGAAATGGAGGGTATCTTTTAGGTTTATGGAGATTTTTCTTGAAGATGATTGTGGGTCCCAATCCCCTTTGTTCTTTTTTGCTCCCTGACTATGAAGTAAAATGGTTTTGCTCTGCTACGTGCTCCTTGCAATTGCCATTTGGCATTCCAACCAGAAGCCTGAAAGCAATAGGCCCATTTAGTCATAAATGGGACCTTCTAAAATCATGAGCCAAAATAACCTTTTTTCTCTTTATTAGCTAAATATCCCAAGTATTTTGTTATAATACAGAAAGCTGAGCAATGTAGAAGGCAAATAGGCATATAAAATGGTGCTCCATATCATTTGTCAGGGAAATGTGTGTGTGTGTGTGTGTGTGTGTGTGTGTGTGTGTGTTCCCAGGAAAGATCCCAGAGAGTGCTGAGCTACCTCTCTAGTCCTTTTTTATTTTATTTTAGTTTTGGCTTTTTGGTTTGGTTTGGTTTCAGTGCAGTTTCTCTTTTGAGACCAAGTCTTGCTACAAAATTCAGGCTGGCCTTGAACTCAGTATGTAACCCAAGCTGGCCTTGAACTCTTGGCAATCCTCCTGCTTCAGACTCCCAACTACTGAGATTACCGACATGTACCATAATGCCCAGTTCACTTCTTTAATTAGTATAGGGGCTTGCTAAGTCGCCCTGTCTGAATTAGCGCTTGCAACTCTCTTCCCTCTGCCATCCGAGTAGCTGAGATTTGAGGCATGTGCTATGAAGCGCAGCTAGGGAAATGCAAATTAAAACAGTGAGCTGTTATTACACACCTAGCAGAATCGCCAGCATCCAAGATGCTGACTGACAGCAGCAAATGCTGGCAAAGATCTGAAGCAATGGGAACTCCCACTCATTGCCAGTGGGAATGCAGATCGGCCCAGCCCCTTTGAAAGACAATTTGGGAGTTTCTCTTGGCACTCAATCTACTCTTCCCACACAGTCTAGCAGTTGTGCTTATTGATCTTTCCCTACTAAATGCATGAAAATGTATGCCTATGAATCCGTTTCCCCAAATAAGCCTAACATGCCTGCATAGCGATCTGCACATGGATGGTTGCAGAAGTTTGCCAGGCGTTGCTGCTCCACTGGGCTAAATGCTCATCTCCTTGTTCTTTCTTTGGTTTGGCTTATCGTAGTAATGGGGTAGTGATTAATAGGAGTTAATTATGTATTCAGCGTAAGTCTCCAGGATCAGCACCATAAAAGGATGAGCACTATTTATATAGCAAAGAAAGTTGCCCTCATTTCTGTATTGTGCCCTCATTACTGGCACCTGAGCTCCAAGGTGTTTTCCTAATAACAAGATGACAAACAGTAAATCACTCACATACTCTAGCCTTGCCTTTCCTGGGACGAGCAGCACATTTATAAGCTAAGAAGTAGAACAAAAGTATGTACCTAGCATGCAAGGGATGACATGTGTGGTCACTGATCAGTAAATATCAGTTGTATGCCCGGGTGAAATGGCTTAGCGCCCAGTAATGTACCACCTGTGAAACAATCAAAGAGGAAAAAAAAAAGCACCAAGATTTATTCATCCTAGGGCAGTGGCATGTGTCTAAACGGTTCACCCTCGCTGTCCAGTGGCACTGATGTCTGTCCTCTGGATTCATTTGCCTGCTGCCATATGAAAGAGTAAAGTCATGTCTCTAGGGGACAGACAACCCTGCCTGTCTCTAATCAAAGTTTGCCCTCCTCTTGGAAGACTGCAGTTCATTTCTAGAGGATTTAAGTTCTAATTTTATCCAGAGTGCTGGATAGGAAGTTGTAGTAAAAAATTCATAACCTGACCAACCAAATTAATAAATAACCAAAGGAAGGTATGAATAAGATACTAGAATAAACTAATATACTAAAAGAGAGAATACCTCTGATGTGTAAGAAGAGAGATACACTGCCTTTTTTGTTGTCTTGAGCTAGGGTCTTATTATGTAGACCAGGAGGATCAAAGTTTGTTTCTCCTGCCTTGGCCTTCTAAGAGCTGGAAACAAAGGCGTGCACCACTGGCCCAGCTTACACTCACTCTTTATTTACCTGCTAGAGATAGAGGAACATTTATCAAGCCTGGCCGGAAATTTCTTTTTCCTTCATCCCATCACCTCTTTCCTTACGTGTCTTCTATTTAAAGACCAGCTCTTAGTCTGACTCAGGATTGTCTAACCCGTCAGCACATGCCCTCCCTCCCTCCCTTCTTTCTTCTCTCTCTGTTCTTTTCTTTTTCTTTTCTTTTCTTTCTTTCTTTTTATTTTCCTTCCTTCCTTTCTTCCTTTCTTCCTTTCTTCCTTCTTTTCTTCCTTCCTTCCTTCCTTTCTTCCTTTCTTTCTTCCTTTCTTTCTTCTTTGCTTGCTTGCTTTGTTGTTGTTTTGAGACAAGTGCCACTGTACAGTTTAGGCCGACCTTAAACTCACTCTGCCACTCAGGCAGGCCCTGAACTTGTGACAGTCCTCCTACCTCAGCCTCCCGAGTGCTGGAATTATAGGCGTGTGCCACCACCCTGGCCAGAAACATGTTCTTCTGAGACTGCGTATGAGCAATGCTGTTTCCTTAGCTACTAAGGATCCAACAGTGACAAGAACTTGGTCAAGTAAAAAGAACATGCATCTCAGAAGATCTGGACTGGAGTCTTAGCTGTCGTGGCCTTGGTTGAGTGACCTATGCCTATTACTAATCCCGTCTGACGCACGTTCTCTTAATTTATTCATGTAACAAATATTCTCCAGCTACTTACTAAACATCAGAGCTTTGCTCTGTGCACAGGAGACCTAGCAATGAGCAAAACAGATGTAGTCCCCTCCAATGGAGGGCACAGTCCAGGGAGAGTGGCAGGGAGTTAGTGAGAAATAACCTCCAGCAGTAAGCAGAGCTATCAAGAACTGAGGAGGAGGAGGAGGAG